TCTTCTTTTAGTTTAGATATATATATATTTTGATTGATGCAACTAATTTTCCTTTATTTTGAGTATTTCAATATTAAATTCTACAAAAAGGATTTGAAGCTTTATATTTTCTACTAATTATCTGCGAGCGTTTTCGACAGTTGGTAGTACTGTCATCATCTGGCACTCCTCAAACTGAGGTTGACATATGACATGTATTTAATTCGTATATGTGTAGTACAAGCCAATGACAAAGCTCAAGTTAAAATTGACATTCGACATTCAGATATATGATCTGTGGACATTTTCAAAATGAATAATCTTTAAATCTTAAGGTTCAATCAAGATATAGCCTGTCAACGTTTGTATGACGTCATATTTTACCTTCTTTTAAAAGCAATAAACGATTGCAATTCATATATTTTTATTTAACACAGTTTTTTCCGTATCGTCGCACCTTTTTCTATCCCTTTCCAATCACTTATTGCCGAGTTTCCTGAAATTATAATGAAATTCCATAATTTTTGTCAGGTGCACACAAATCACTTTTTATAAATTGCATTAGAACTTGGAGGTCAGGTTAGATGTTGAGGATACATAGTTTTTTAAAATTTTAAAGTAAGGTTAGACTAACTTAGGTGAGGTTAGGTTAGGTTGAGTTAGCATGTGACAAATTTTGGAATTTCAATCTCATTTCAAGAAACTTGGCAACAAGTGAATGAAAAGCGATAGAAAAAAGTGCGATTATATGGAAAAAGATGTGTTGAATAAAAAATATGTGAATTGCAATCGTTTATTGCTTAAAAAAATGTAAAATACCTATGACATCATACAAACTTTGACAGGCTATATCTCGAAAACTAATTTGAGTCCGACAAAAAATAAAAAGTGTTCTAAATTCCTACCATCACGTATCATCATCACAAAAAAAAATCGCGAAAATCCGTGAGTATCCCATAAAGTAAAATTTTCCTAAATGAATTCAGAATGAATTAAAAAAATATAGAAATAATATTACGTGATCCACTTGATTAACATCAGCTCCATGGTTGATGAGTAACCTGACAATATCATGATGACCACCACTTGCAGCTAAAATAAGAGGGCATTCTTCTTCTGATCCTTTTACATTTACCATTGCTCCATGTTTCAAAAGGTGTTCGACAGTACTGAATTGCCCATACGCACAGGCCCAGTGCAGTGCTGTCAAATTTTCACCATCCACTATATCCACATTCTTTTCTCTTTCAATTTCTTCTTCAGTCAACTCTCCTTGACCAGCTTTCATATGAAAGTTAATTTCTGTAGGTTCCGGCACTGGTGTTTCAGCTTGAGTGTTTCCCCGTTGCAAATTAGTTAATACCGTATTGCACGAACTACTTTGCTGCTTGTAAGGCAAAAACGCACTTTTACGTATACCATCTTGAAGAAATCGAGGAGACCACTTTTTGGGACTGCAGCTTACGTCCGAAGATAGACCCAAAGAGCTTGAACTAGTTGGACTTAGTAGAAATGTAGGTTTTACATCATTTTCATCACTTGATGAGTTACCGCAAGAAAGATCCATAACTTAACATGTTTTTGTTGACTCTAGTTTGAGCTTGTGTCTAAGTTGCCTGCACCGTAACGTTATTGTGGAAATTGCTTTTCATGGCAGAATTAAAGACGTTCAATTCAGATTCTCTGTTATTCGACTCATATAATAAGTAGACGAAAAAAGTATTGCAATTTACTAGAAATATTGATTTTATATACAGTACGTCGTGCCAAGAGGAGAAACCGAGGGATAACCAGACAAATAATGAAAGAATATTTCAGTGGTTTTTGTTGCATTTCAGTAGTTTTGTTATTACTCGCCTTTCTGACCAACAATTTCTATCGATCTAATTTCAACACTTTTTTATTAGGTTGCAAACATTACGTAACTTTTAAATTGATCATCATTTACAGGCAAATATTCCCAGATGAGTCCACGATTTTGATAAATAAAACCGTGACATTGTAACATGTTCGGTATTGGAATGATATCAATCATATGTTCAGAATCCCAACCCAACCCAACGTCGCTATTTCTAAAACGTGTATGCTTGGTGGGTTGTATCGTATTTCTTTGAGAAAACTTGTGAAAGAAATTATTTTTTTTAATATGTTAAATGCTCACTTTTTATGATTATTCAGAACGAATGCCATCAGATGTATACCTGTGCCATTTTCCAAGAGATGTAAAAAGAAATGACTCGATCAGAAATTTGAACAAAAACGGATCCGGCAATTTGTCTAGTTTTATGCCCTCCAAGTCCTAACCTTGACAGAGTATTTGTGGGTACGCTTAAAACAGTTGAATCACGATAAAACGGTGTCAAATGATGAGCATATTTTGAAACCAAGCATTATGAAAGCAATAGAAGGAATGTTTCTAGAAGTAGTGAGGAATACTTTGATTATTTCAGTAGCTAACTGGAAAATGTTGTCTTCATGTTAGAGCGGTGTTTGAATTCTATCTGATTTTGTTCTATTTCTATGAATTATGCCAACATAGAATAAATCCAAAACAAGCACTGTTGTTGCATTCCATTGACTAGAACCGCAACCCTCTTCTCGGCGTGCAAACTTTTCTGATGATTGCACCGAGAGAGTGTTGCAGTGTTTGAGAGCAGTGCTTGTTCTGGATATTGGGGTTAGTTTTAGTTTATCGTAATTTGTGAATGTTTTATTTTATATATAAAACAGTTACATGTTTTCATCCCTCACTTCAAAAGATACTGAAAGCGATATACGAAATGAAAAGGTATGAAAAATCAAAGGTTTAGCTGTCAAAATTCCAAGTGAAATGTAAATTTGAAGCAAACAATTTCAGCTGTCCACACTTAATGATGAACTATATTCAGAATTTGTGATTTGACTTGACAATTTTCTCGAATAATATTTCAAAATAATGATTCATTCTTTACTCTTGAAAAATTTGTATGTTAACACAAAATATTTTCTATGATCGACAATCCTATTTTTAAGTGAGAAAATTTTTTTTTCAAATATTACTTCTTTTTTTTATATAGGTACCAAATTGTCGGAAATACCGTACAAATATTTCTATAAGTACATCGTTCAGATGCGACTTGTCTCGGACAAATTCAAACTAATCCGGATAGCAAAACAAAACTCCTGTTAGCAGTTTTCATACATTGTTGTGGTTTCATGAGTGAAAGTAATTTATTTCACCTCTTCATCAGTTTCTCACGCCTATAATGAACACACGAAAACATTACTGCATTTCATTAGTTCAGACTTCCATTGTCTAATATGATATAAAATTGCTTTGAAATCGCTGAAAGAATCTGTAGAAATTAAAAAAGACTAGCTGAATTATAACAGAGTTATATTAAGCAAAATTAACTCAAAACACAAAAATCCACAACAATAAACATAACAAAAAACAACATTCAGTTATTTAATCAACGCACCGGTAGAAATTCCTCCATACATATGGAATACTAGACACTGCTCAAGTCAAAATAAAGTGGATGTTCAATTCGAAATGTTTTATGTCCTGCATACTGTATGATATAAACCATGCGAGAATTTCCATAAGTATTCTGTCATATCAGAGAACGAAAGGACAAGGTTACAATAATTTCAAGATTCCAACCAAGATCCAACCAAGATAAAAATTTAAAATTTCAACTGATATGAGTTGTCATCAATTTATTATATGAAATCATGGACAAAATAATAAAAATCAATAATCAAACTGCTGGAAGAGACAAAATCGCAAGGTATTTATAATGTTCTATCATTGTTTCAGCAATATAAAAACAAATTTGTAGGCTCTTACAGTACATCAGTCGATTTTTATGGCACAGACTTCAACAAAGTAATAAAGATGGTGTTGCTGGACTAAAGAATCTAGAGTTTCAACTCAGCACTTTCAGAAAACGTAAGTTGATGTTTGGATGAGTTTTATTTTATATACATAACAAATTTTCCAGTACTTCGATTTGGAAGATTCGCTGAGGGATTGTATACAGCTCTACCATTATTTCAACAAGAGGATATACCCACGAGATACACAATTATTTTGAGCAAAATAGCTAATTCTCTATTTTTACTCGCTGACCACTTTTTATGGCTTGGTAGGGCTGATATATGTGCGGTCGACACAGAAAAGTGGAGCCGTATCTCAAATAAATACTGGTTATACTCAATTACAATGAATTTAATGAGGGATTTTTATGAAATTTCCCTAATTGTGAAATCTGAAAAAAGTAATATTATACCAAAAAATGGTTTAAGAAATTTTGCTGATATTATGAAAGCTCTCTCGAAGCTATCTCTAGCTGTACAAATGAATCAAAATGTAGTTATAGATACTGTCAAGAATGGCTGTGACTTTTTCATTCCGTTAACGGCTCTGGGTCATGTTAAGTTGTCTCCAGGTACTGTTGGTTTCTTGGGCGCTATTTCTTCCATCGCAGGCCTACTAGTTCTTCTAGAACCTTCAAAGAAATTGACACCTTGAAAAAAATTTCTATTTTCAAATGAGTCTGAACCAAATGATTTAATTGATAATATATGTTGGGGTTATTTGTTTTAAACAAACTGGCAAAGTAGATTTGAATTATAATATATATTTAAGGTTTTGATACAAATTGATCCAAACTCAACCAAATGTTGAACTTATAAAAATCAAATTTTTATTCACGTTATGCTTCTTTTGAGGTATTTGTATTTTGAGATTATTTATAGTTCCATTCCGGTACCAAAAATGTTCCAAAATATAAGAGGGTATTAGACTTGATTCATTATAACATTAAAATATGCCTTTTATGGTTTTCCACCTTCCGTTTGGTACAAAAAGTGTAATCTTTCAGATCATCAAATACGGATGAAAATAAAGAGTATCTGAAACAACTACTCGCCCTATTGATACTGTAGTTAGAAGTAATTTTTTTATCTATTTGTTTACCAAACCTTCATAATGAAAAATGAAATGATACTCATGGATATCTTTGATACTGTAGTTAGAAGTAATTTTTTGTATCTATTTCTTTACCAATCCTTCATAATGAAAAGTGTAATGGATATCATTCATGGGGCATGTTACCACCTTTTCCTTTAATGACCCAGTATTAACATTTTGAAATTGAGTATTCAGAATGATGAAAAGCCATTATTCTGTTGATTGGAGACTGTTCTTTCATTTTGGTTTTGTAAGCTGAGTTCATGAAAGTTGGACTGTTTCTCAAAGGTTACCAAGGACAAGAAATATTTCTACGTTGGTACTCATTAAAAATTAAGAGCTTGCTTGCACAAGTTTCAACTATTGAAGATTGTTGTTCTTATGGGAATGATAATAGATAGATGAATCAAAGTTTAAGAAATCAAGAAACATCGAGAAATTACTTTGAATTATTTCAATTCTGTATTCATAAATTTTTGCTAAACAGCAATATGGCCAAAAGGGGCTAAGTCTCGCATAAGCAATCAACATAAATCATTATCTTACATTATGGTATTAGGGTGGAATTAACTTTGTTGTACCTATACCATGAACTTCATATCAGAAATTCTATTTTTCAGACTCAAACCGTTTCTACTATTAGGAAAAGCACAGTTTTTCGTTTAAAAGTCATTTGCAAAAAATATGGGTCAACTCCTTTTGTCCAATCAATAAAAAAATTTTATTTTGTGGGCATTACACAACTTCCGTATGTCATGGTCTTGTAAATATTGGCAAGGTATATTTTGACAGCATTGGTAAACAAAAACTTTCATGTGTTCTTAAGGCATATGGGTACAGTTGCTTTTGGCTACTATAGATTCACTGTTGTTTCAGATGTACTCTTTCTTCTGTTTGTATTTGGACGAAAATCTGTGGATATTCTAGATACCTATTTTGAAGTGTTCAATTATATTTTTTTATCATCATTTGATAAATTTTGGTATATTTTTAAGATATCCACAATACAGACTATCACTTTTTATTTTTCATATTTTAGATTCTCTAGTTCAAATAACAAAGTAGTTTAATAACAAAAATTTTACTAGCTTGAAAAATTGACAGTTTGTCTGTATTTTTTGTTTTGTTCATGGTCTGTTGAAAGTCAAGTATCCTGAATTTATTTTTATAAGGTCAGAATTAGGAACTGAACATATATTTGCGGTGATGAGAGCCAGTTATTTGTATTATTTTATATATTTTTGTTGAGAAAATAAAAAAGAAAATTTTCATAATTTTTCAGAAATTTGAATGTTGTCTTGTGTACTAAACTCTCCATTTCTCACCTACTACTTATGCAATCATTATTATCCATCATATATTTTTTGGGAGGTATTGTTTCTTGTTCTAGTAAATTGTTTCTGGTAAAAATGTTTTCTCGTTGTCAAAGCCACAAAACAGATATGGTTTGCAAATTGAATTTTGAAGTATCTTCATCAATTTCAAAACGAACTTGCAATGACCCTGTTGAGATAGGTGTTTTGTTACCTTTCATCTTATTCCTGTTGAATTACTTTAAGCAAGTAAGATTTCAAGGAAGGCATCTAATATTCATTTAAATGTTTTATTGGTATCTTAATACATAATAATAATTGATGATTTGCGGTTACATAAGTAATTTATTTCAGAAGATTGAGTGTACTTTTGCATGAAAAATTAATTATTGAAGTGAACACATAATAATATTTGTTATTTTTCTCTAGTGGTGATCAATCCACCAGTGATGTGGCAAGAAGTTCATAACAATACCCCAGTTAAACTATTTGATCTATATGTAAGGTAATGTTAATACAGGTGGCTATGATTTGAACACAAATAGAAAACTTTCTTTAATTACTGTCCGCATGATAATTGTGTTCTTTTATCCGATTTTAAATGGCAGTTTTGAGTTGCTTTTTTATGAATATTGGCTAATTATCTAATACTAACTGGAAACTTAGGTCATTTGAATATATATGAGTTTTTATGTCGTCACTCAGAGGAAATAATTTCATCTTGTGGTAAAAAACTCATTGGGAAAATTAAAAATGATTTTTGAAAATTAATAACAGTATGATAGAAAATAGTTGCTCAATTTATGTGCTCTGTAAGTAATTAAAAACACCGAACAGTTAATTTCCATGTTTAAAAAACCATTAAGATTATTTTGAAATTCGTCTTGAATGATATTGAAAATGAAAATATTACAAAAATATATCTATTGAAATCAAGGGCGCAACCAGTTAAGTCAATTATTCCACTTCCAACACCAAATGTTACGTTTCTCCGTTGGTTCTAACTAGACTTTCCCGATCTGCGTGTTGGTAGTGTTTGTATATCAAACTGGAAGTCTTTGGAAGCCGATTGGGAAGTCCATGGAAATCTTTTGAAGTGACGAGACATTTGGAACGATCGCGAAGCGGAAGTCGAGTTGAGCGCGAACTTGATTCAGTCACAATCGATTAACGAAAACCAGCGGCGGCTAGTGTTATTTTTTTAGGGGATGATTCACAACCTTATATTCAATAACAAGTCTTATGGTAAATTATGAAAACTTGTTTAAAAATAAAAAGAAACTCTTGAGTTTGATAAAAATTGTATTATAAGTCATAAAATATACAAAAATGTCAAAAAAATCTCATAAACAAATTGCTTCAACAGTTTCTTAATGAATCGAGCGATCGTCATCGTGTGATAGTGAAAAGTATTTCGAAATATACATATGCAGTGTCTCACTTCTCATGGAACGATCCCCGTATTTTCCATAATATTCGAGGTAGAACGATGAAACTCTCTGGACTGATGGAAATGCTCAAAATGCACCTACCACCTGAATGGGGTTGGCCAAAGTGATATGTAAATGTCTTGTGGACACCGGAGCCGCTGTGATACTAATACAGCGTGAATTTGTTGAGGAACGGAAAATAAACAGAAGAGGAGCGGATAACTATCAACTAACGAGTGTTACAGGGCACTATTTACGAACTTGGGGTTCCACGAAGTTATCTATTGAGACTATAGACAGGAGTTGGAGGAAACAATAGATCGCCATAGTGTGCGACGATGAAATTTTAGGAAATGCTCACATGATTCTAGGAAGAGATTTTCTACGGTGAAGCTGGGCATGTATAGATTATGGGAGACATATGGGTTTACATTTAGGAAACGTTTTCATGAAGTTTCTCACTAGAGAGGAGCAAGAACGAGAATATCGCTACAACAACGGAGGTGTTAATAACGTAACTAGAATACACTACGGAAAGAATCGGGGTACAACATCAACAAAAAAACACGGCTACAGGGATAAACCGAAAAACTCCCCGAGAAAACACAAGGGTAATAATAAAAGAGGACACAGATCGTCTGAAAAATACGAGAGACAGTCAAGAACAGGAAGAACAGAATGGAAAAAGTGGTTAGCGGAAGTAAAGAGATTTCACGAAGAGGATATAAATAGTCGGTGCGAAAGAGGAAGTCAACAGAAAGTGAATAGGACTTCAAAGCAAGAAAAAGCCCAACTGAAAAAGGAATCGGAGTCTCCAGAGGAGAAGAACATTGAAGACGTACCACAAAATATTGAAGCTATGGAGGAAGAGGAATATTGGGATGCTATATTCAGTAATGAGGACGATGAAATCGAAGAGCCGAAGAATAAAAACACCCCAGAAGAAAAACAAAACAGGAAGAACCAAAAGGGTTTGCCAAAAGAGAAGAAACTAAGTATCATTAAAGTAGGGGAGAAATTAGCCATCCCTAGAGAAAGTAAGGAAGAAATAACCGAAGAAAAAGTGACACCAGAAAAATCAGTAGAGGGGTCAAGCCAGTTCGAGAAAGTAGATGAGTTAGGACGGTTCGAGGACACACCCCACCAGGAGACTTCAAGGTCGGAGGACAAGGTTTCACAGCCAAGATGGGAGACAGATATTGTACTGGAATAGCGAGTTGTAGTACAAGGGAGCAATTGGAGTGAAAAAGGTTTTGAGCTAGAACACCTAGACCCAACTATCAGAAATGAGCTACTCGACATGCTGAAGAAATATCAAGATCTTTTCCTGGGAGAGAGTGACGCTCTCACTAGCACAACTGAAGTCAAGCATGGAATAACATTAGAACCCGGAGCCCAACTTATTTGCAAGGCTCCATACCGAATACCCTACCGACAGCGAGAAGTATTAGAAACGGAAATTGACCGATTGTTAGACGCAGGCGTGATTCGACCTTCTTTTAGCCCTTGGTCAGCACCAGTAGTATTGGTAACGAAAAAACTACCAAGTGGAGAAGAAAAAGTCCAAATGTGTATCGACTATAGAGGACTGAACAGTGTCACGAAGGAGGAGTACTATCCCCTACCTAATATGTCTGATTTGGTCCATGGATACACAGCGGGAGGAGAAGCCATGTTCTCAGTAATAGATGTAGCTGAGGCATATCACCAGATTGATATGGAGGAAAAGGATATACCACTTACTGGATTTAGTACATTTGGAGGACATTACGAGTACTTGAAGATGCCTTTTGAATTGGTGAATGCGCCATCGACTTTTCAGAGATTCATGAATATCACCTTGGCAGGACTCACAGGAGATTTGTGCATGGTCTACTTGGACGACATAATCATCTTCAATGCAAATGGACCCGAAGATCACATATCTAAACTCAGGAAGGTTTTCGAACGATTACGAGAAGCAGGCGTGAAGTTGAAGCCGAAAAAGTGCAACTTTCTACTCAAGGGAGTGAAGTATTTAGGCCACATTTTAACGCAAACAGGAGTACTACCCGATCCCGAGAAAATCGAGACGATTCATAAATTCCCAGTACCAAAAAACGTGAAGGGAGTAAGGTCATTTCTAGGATTGATAAACTGGTATAGGAGATTCATACCTGATGCGGCAGATTTAATGGCTCCGTTGACCAACCTCACGAAGGAGGAAACCAAATTTGAAATCACCACAGAAGTATTACAGGCCATGGAGAAAATTAAGGAAAAGCTCACCTCGGAAATGATACTAATATTTCCAGACTTCTCCAAACCATTTATAGTCGCGGCAGATGCATCAGGATCAGGAGTCGGAGCGGTTCTTAGTCGAATACGAGAGGGATATGAAAAACCAGTAGCATATGCCAGTCGAAGTTTTAAGACAGCGGAACTAAATTATTCCACAATGGAAAAAGAACTTTCAGGGTATTAACTATCCGAAAAGGAAATTTATTTTCAGCACCTGAAGAGTGCGCTTTGGCTCACTGTGTATCAAAAGACTTCGCCATGGGAGCTGGAATCGCACGACAGTTCAAAGAAATCTACGGAGCTGTCGATGTATTGACTCAACAAGGAAAAGAAGTTGGAGAAGTAGCAGAGCTACGACTCCCTGAGCGAAATCTCTATTACATGGTAACTAAGGATAAATATTGGAAAAAACCCTCATACCGAACTTAATGGAATGCTTTGCGACAACTGAAGGAGTGCTGCGAGAAGAATGATGACAAATATTTAGCCATGCCAAAGATAGGATGCGGACTCGATAAGCTGGACTGGACAAAAGTTCGGGAGATGTTAGAATTTTTGTTCTATAATACTAAAATCGAAGTAACCATATACGAGCAAACTGAACAAGTGGAAGCCATAAACGTGGTGAAGAACGATGAAGAACAGTTGGAACCGGAATGGGATCGAGAGGCGTTAAAAAAGGCTCAAGGTAGCGACGAGTACTGTCAGGAGGCATTGAAACAACACGCACTGGAGGAGGAAAACTCCCCGTACTACGTTGCCTCGGACGGATTGATCTTCCGAATTGAAGAGGACGCGGACAAGCTAATTATACCGAGAAAATTTGTAAGGAAGGTATTGGAAGATTTCCATGATTCTCCGCTAGCCGCACACCCAGGACAACAGAAAACGCTACTGAACATCCAAAGAAGATTTTACTGGCCGAACATGAGGACAGACGTTAACAATTACTGCACCAGCTGTGACGCGTGCAATCGGAGAAAGTCTACGCCACGGAAAAAGGTCCCCCTGCAACATTTCACACCAACTTCGGAACCATGGGAGCTAACATCCATGGACATAGTAGGACCACTGGTAACATCCAACCAAGGAAACCACTATCTATTAACCTTCCAAGACTATTTCACCAAATACGTGGAAGCCTTACCTATCCCGGAACAAAAGGCTGATACCGTAGCGAGGGCCTTTGTGGAAAATGTAATCACAAGACACGGAACCCCGAAGAGACTTCTCACTGACCGCGGGTCAAACTTTATGTCAGCAACATT